TACTTCGTTAACGTACGTTACTACTACTACGTACGTAGTCGTCGTGTACGTTACGTTACGTAGTCGTACTAACCTACACTCTACGACCCCTACCCCCTCCCCTCCCTCCTCTCTCTCTCTCTCTCTCTCTCTCTCTCTCTCTTACACACACACACACAACTATGGCATGCCTAGATGTTCTTTCCTAGAGCACCATATTTGCTAAATCGGAGATCAGGTCCACAAGATGATCAACTCCCATCTCCCGAAATGTAAATTCCAACTCTTATCTGCTCTTTGAAGTCTTGAACCTCACTTGAATTCTGATAATTGTTTTTGAGAAACTTGATGGATTGCTGTGATTTCCATGGTTAACGTTACTTATACATCATAATGAAATGGAAGTTGTATATTGTATTATCTGAATCTACCTGAATGCTCAATTAAATTTATGAAATGCAACTTAGTCAACAGAAAAAAAGCTATCCAGTTCAATATTCTTTCCGACTTCAAACATAGCATTTCCGTCTTGGTCTGCTTACTTGAGGAATATTAGCCTGCTTATGTGAATGGGATGTGCCTCTAGGTTCATTTTGTTAAAGATGGTGCCAGTTCTGGTCTGTGCCTTAATTAAAGTCCATTCGGAAGAAGAAGGAATAACAGACTCTTTATGCGTATATAACTTTATAATTTGCGAATATTAATTACCTAGAACTTAGATGTAGGTGAAGTATTGTAATTTGCTAATCTAGGCGATCTTTTCTAATAGTGAAAATCGCTCAAACATCTCGAGTAAGAAGGAATTGACCATCTTCACAAAATGACTCCTTTCCAGGATGTTCTGAAATGTTTGGTGATTCTTAAGAAAATCTATTGCTTCATTATTGGCCTCTACTCTCCTCTTTCATTCTTGAATTATCTCTTTCTTGCACTGAATAATAGGCACTGAATAATAGCCTTCTCTCTGTCTGGGATTGTTTTCACCCTTTCTTTGTCATGGCATTTTGTATGTTAGTTTTTATCAGTATGTTCAAAATCTTCTTGAGAAAGATGTGAGCAATATATGATCGTTGTGTTTTAATATTACTTGAATTTTTTTTTTTTTTTTGAGGTACTGAGTAAATTAAACATTAGTGTGCTAAATGAGACTTTTGTCACATTATATTTACTAAAGGTTTTCTTTTCTGAAGGTTTCGTATGAGTAAAATGTGTCATCCTGATATACCTCAACAGAATCCTAATATCAAGAAAAAATATTTGATTCCTGCTACTTTACTTTTATATATACTTCTAGCCAGGGCATGTCCTAATTTGGCATTTCAGGATATATTTCCCTCAGAAGATGGCAGAAGTTTGGGAGATGAATTACGACAATGGCAGTCAATCTGATGACAGCTATCATTTTGAAAGAAGGCATATTGAACCTCCTTTTGATTCTTTTATTTGCCCTCTTACGAAACAAGTATTCCGGGATCCTGTTACTATTGAAAATGGCCAAACATTTGAGCGAGAGGCTATTGAGAAGTGGTTCAGGGAGTGCATAGACACTGGAAGGCCGCCAATTTGCCCATTGACATCGAAGGAATTGAAAAGCACAGATTTGAAACCTAGTATAGCTTTACGAAATACAATTGAAGAATGGACTGCGAGAAATGAAGCTGTTAAACTTGAAATTGCTGCTTCATCATTATCACCTAACAGCCGAGAAAATGATGCTTTGCATGCTTTAAAATATGTGCAACACATCTGTGAAAAAAGCAAATCCAATAAGCACACAATCCGTAATGCTGGATTGATACCCAATATTGTCAATCTGTTAAAAAGTGGCAGCAAGAAAGTACGGTGTAGAGCACTTGAAACACTTCGTAGCGTGGCAGAAGAGGATGCGGACAATAAGGTTGTGGCATGCTTGGCTTGTTATGAAAGTATACTAATAATCTAAATGGAGTATGAAAAACCCATTGTCTGTTCAGTCATCACCTGCATTGAATTGATGAATGCTAGTGAAGAGTGATAAGACTGGACCCACCATTGGCGTTGTTATCTTCTGATGGGTCCCACTCTTTCCACCACATTTTCTTCAAAGATGGTGATAACCTAACGGACTCTGGGGTTCACACAGTCCATGAGAGTATAATATACTCTCACATGCTGGTTATTTTTGCATAGTCCATATTTGCCTAAAAGCACAAATTTGGACCTAATTAACCAGGCACGTGGTATGCACAATTGCACATATGGCAACTCATCTCCTTTATTTAATAGGAAGCTATGGCTACGGGTGATACGATACGAACTATTGTAAAATTCTTATCGCATGAACTTTCTGAAGAAAGGGAGCTGGCTGTATCTTTGTTGTACGAGCTATCAACGTCTGAATCCTTGTGTGAGAAGATTGGTTCAGTGAATGGCGCAATTCTCATATTAGTTGGGATGACAAGTAGCCAATCAGAGAATATTTTGACTGTGGAGAAGGCTGACAAAACACTTGTGAATCTGGAGACTTGTGAGAAGAATGTGAGGCAGATGGCTGAAAATGGTAGACTGCATCCGCTTCTGACACTCCTTCTTGAAGGTACTTACTGCCATTTTTTTTTCTTTTAATTTCAATCCCTGACAATATGGCTCTAAAATGAGGAGAGATCTTAATTTTGGTCATGAAACTATTATGTTCTGCTGCTTGTTGCAGTTTGCTTTTCTTTTTTTCCCCTTTTATTTCGCTACGGAGAACTGCATGATCTCTTCTTCTGTTTTTCGTTTCAGCTTCATTGCAATTTCTTAGTTTTCCCACATGTTTTTTTGAATAAATTAAATTTCAAGGCTGTCTAGCATGTACTACTTCATTTATTTTTTTATTGTATTTATTTATTTATGGCAGTTTTGTTCTTTTGTTTGATTTCTATCCTTTTTGCTAAAACATGTATATCTGATTCTTGGGAAATCAATATTGTGAAGGGCATGGTTTGGGTGTGTCCTGGGCCGCATCTATTGTATTGAGTTGAGCCTTCCAAAATCCATCTTGGGGATAGATTTTGGATCTAAAGCTCCAACAGGTCTATTATCTCCACCACCAAGATCATGAATCTGAAAAACAAAGAAAAAAAAAAAAAGAAGGAATTTTGACCCATACAAATGGTCCATCTTGTACTGTTTTTAAAACTGCAAATTCTTCAAAGATCACAAAATCTGCACTGTTTTTGAATGTCCAAATTAATGGAACTGAGGGGAAAATGTATTTCCAGTGATTTGGGATGTGTTTTGAGCCCTGAAACCCCTAAAACCAGACTCAGCAAAAACTATATGTATTCTGTATTGAAGTTGATTTGTAATCAGGAACTCTTTGTATATGAGTATATTATTTACCATGGTAGGTATGGTTGAACCCAAGCCTCTCTTTAACATGAAAGCATCAATGGTTTAACTTCAAAACTATTAAAAGAAAAAAGAAAGAGTTGAACTTAATAATGTCCTTATTCTTTCATGCATATGTTGGAAGCTCAGATTCAAACATGGACCTGATAGGTCACTTATGTTTTTGAGCCAATCATGCTGGCCAAAACAATATTAATTTTATGAATTAGTGTGGCAAGCCCAGAATTTTCATGTATCTATGAAAGTACCATAACTTGAGATAAAGTACCTCAATTTAGAAGTTGCCCGTTATAGCTGTTTCTAGAAACAGTGTGGATGCTCACTGAATAAAGAAAGAGAAGTTCTATGGGCAGTAGTCCACTATAGAGGAGAAAAAGAGCTTTACTGTATGTTTAGACGTTATATATTTGGAATATCTCTCTCTCTCTCTCTCTCTTCTCCTCTCACACACGCACACACACACACACACGCGTGCACGCCCGTGTGCACGCTAGAGTTGTATTACCATCATATGCATGATAAATAATAAGTGCACCATAATTTTTTAATTTTCCAAGCAGGTAGATGTTCCATACTTCTCCACCTACTTTCTCTCTCAATATTTTTTCTATCTTCCTTTATGTAAATGTGTTTCCAAATTATGTTTGAAACAGGTTTTGCTTTGAAATGGGTTCCGCCAATTCTACATGCCTTTTCATTTCAGAAAAATCCTGTTTTATTTTTCTGCAATTTCCCTTCCAAATTCCTTACTCTATACTGTAGTCTTCTTTTTTGTAGGATTTATACATTCCCCATAGATACATAATTGTGCCTTGAATTGTTCCTTTCCCCCCCCACTGTTTAAGCTTTTCTTACACGATTTTCTTTTGTGAATTTTTCTAAAAATTCACCCTTTTTATGAAAATTAAAAAATAATCTTGTATATTTATATTTCACACTTAAGTGCAACTCTATGACTACGTATATCTTTTCTTAATTTTATTTTATTTTTTACATATCAGATTATGCTCTAATTTTGGCAGTTCATATTTCTCACCATCCTACATTTGTAAAAAATATCAAAATGGTATTTTAAAATAATTAAAATAACCAAAATACCCCTAAAATTAAGAACTTTGTAGGCATATTTTGGTCATTGTTACTTAAATTAATAATATTTTCTATTTAACTTTGTAGCGCACTTTTGATATCGTGGGTCAATAATCTAGGAAAATAGAGAGATTGAGGAAGATGTTGTATATAGAATTAGAGCTGGGTGGGCGAAGTGGAGATGTGCTGCGTGCAACCAGAGTTTTATATGACGCCGCATACCAATGAAGCTGAAGGGCAAGTTCAATATGATAACTTTGAGACCAGATTTACTTTATGCGGTGGAATGTTGAGCGGTCAAAAAACAATATACCCATAGAATAAGAGTAGCTGAGATGAGGATGTTGAGATGGATGAGTGGGAAGACAAGAAGGGATATGATTTGAAATGATATATTCGGGAGAATTTAGGTGTGACACCAATAAGCGATAAGATGAGAGAAAGTAAACTTAAGTGGGCTGGCATGTGTGGCACACACCCACTACAACACTTGTTAAGAAGTGCGAGTTAGTTAAAGTGTAAGGCTCAAAAAGGGCAAGGGGTATACCCAAAAGGACATGGTTGGAAGTAGTGGAAAATAATATTGGAACTTATGGCTTCACTGAGGGCATGACCCATAATAAAGTAGAATGACGGACTTGGATTAGTGCAGCCAACTCCAATTAGATAGGAAAAGGCTTTGATGATGATGGTGATTTTTTTACAAGTGATTTATAGTGAGAATAATGGATGCCCATAATTTGAGCTCAATTAGATACGTAGAAAAAAAAGATTAAAATTTAAATTATTATATTTGCTATAGAAAATGGGACTTAAATGTGAAATATAAAATATATGGGAAATTTATAAATTTGATATAACAAAAGGTTTTTTTTGTTAATTTCCCTTTTCTTTTATGCTTATTGTTTTAAGCTTTTCCTTATTGTGCCCATGCTACCAAAATCTATATATTCTTCTATATTTGTATACATCCACACATGTATTGTGAGAGGTTGTCTGCATTGTTTATATTCTATATTATTTGTATTTCCTAATATTAGTTAAAGTTCCCGATCTGTAGTTTAGTCCTTTTACACATTTTGAAACCCCTTATATATGAGGGATATAATTTCTTTTTTATATTTAATAAAACTGCCCCTTTTCTATGTTCTCTCAACTTTTATTGGTCATATCCTCGTGGTTTGTTAAAAGTTCAGTTCCACTGTTCTTGAGCTATTAATTGAGTTTGGGAACGTCATATTGATCAAGTGGAGTTATCTGGAAACTGATCCACACTTATTTCTTTAGATTTTCCTGTAAATATATCCCTTATGTATCATACATCAAAAAAATATATCCCTTTCGTATCAACACTGGTTGTAGCAGTGATCAAGAATAACAAATGTACTGCTTGTTACGATGCATGTGCAACCAAAGCGTGAAATTCTTTGGCTTTTCAGCATCATATTTCTTCGATAGGTTGATTTTGATAATGTGTGATCACAATTGAGTAAAAGTAATTAACTTCCTGGTTTATTGCTAAACCCTTCATTGTTTAGATTTCCTTCATGAGTGTCAATAATGGTAGTTTGTCTGGAAAGTTTTGCTGCAAATGTTTGAGATTTCCCCAGTTTTTTTGTCATCCTTGAACCCTATCAAATACTTATGCCAGAACTTATTGAAATTATTTTGCATCTCACCTGTTGCTTTGCATGCTTTTTTAATACAAAATTATGAACAAGTCTTTAACTGCAGTGAAATCCTGTCATACTAGTGCATAAAACATTAAAGATGCCAAAATCTTTAACCATGATGGGAATGTGACTTGAGTATTCAGTCATATGATAGAACATCTATGCGAGATTGAAGCAACAAGCTTTGCATAAAGTTAAAAAATGATCAAGATGGTTTAAAAGCCAAAGATTAGTAATAAACCAACTGTTTTGGGTGTTTGTTAATCTCCCTAGACTTGAATAGGCTTGCCTGCAGCGAAAATGCTGGATATATTCAAGAGACTAAACAATCATGAAATCAAAGCAAAAAACTATTTAAATAAATTCAAACATGACCACAAAAGGTCAAATATAACATTGGAATTCTGATTATGGTGTTAATCCAATAATTTGGACTAAATTTAGAGTCACCACAGTATTAAAGGGCTTAACCGCGAAACTCATACTCTTGCTCAAACTTGAAGAAACCATAGCAAAAAGCATTCAAATAAATTAAAATATCACCAAAAAGGTCAGAAATCACTTTCAACTAAACAAGCTTAACTGCGGCCATGATTGAGAGTTTCTTCCAAACCTGAAATCTCAGGCCAATTTTTTATAAAATAGAGTCCAAATATGTCTTTCAAAAACAAAGAGGTCCAAATATACCAAAATATTCCTCTACATAAAATGCACAAAAATGGAGAAAATCATAAAAAATTGAGCACTCACAAAGGTTAGAAATTGATCTTTACTGCAGCTAAAATAGAGTTTCATCATCAACTGTTGTCAACATTTTTGTCATATGCCAATTGCACTAGATGGGAAGGAATTAAAATGATTGACCCTCAAGCATTTAAATCATATTTTAACCCTTTATGATAGATGCCTTAAGGAGTTAACCTATTTGTCTCTGGCAGTTAGGCAAAAAGCCTCTGCTCTCTCTTAACCATCTTCTCAACCTTTCCCACCATTTTCGAAGTTTAATATTCGGGCAAAAAGGATGAATTTCACAAAAGGACATAAATATTGACAATATAAATTATGAGAAACAAAAAGATCACCGACAACAAAGAAAGCCGCACATAGAGAAAGAACAAATGCATACAGAAACTTTGAAGAAAAAGACTTCTACCATGCAATAGGCAATGCTATTTGGGTATTTTGAGCTCATTCCTTTACTTCTTTTTCTTCACTGGACAATCTGTAGTTCAATGTATTCAGAGAATCAGAGGTCTTCTGGTTCAATTCTTGTAACCAGATGTAATTAATTAATAAAACAGCATTTGTGAGTGCTTTAGGATTGACATACCTGAAATATATTACTAAAATTCCAACATGGGTGAATTTGATCTGTTCTGAATTCTAAGTTCTTTTTTTATTCGTTTATAGTTACCACAAGTTGCTCTTATTACCTATATAAAAACCCATGTCCTGGTACTACTACGTGACCTGTAATGAAGTCTTATTATCTTCTGATATACAGTTTGCAAAGACATATGGAAATATTTCTTGAGTTGAACATCCTTTATATTATATCATATTTGTTCTGAAATTGTTCTCAATTTTTTTCATAACATTGTAGGACCGTGGCAAATTAGCAATCCTCTTACCTCCTCTTTGTGTTCTGGAGCATTTATAAATTGAATGTTTCATACATCTTGACTTGTCTTTTGTAACACAAAACTAGATGCCAAAAGCCTCAGAACATAGCATGATAGCCAGTGCCACTAGGCTCATTTCTATATGTATGTGTGTGTGTGTCTAGAAATGCACACATGTGCAAATAGAAAAATAAATATTTTTATATTAACCATGTGTTAATGTCAAAGAGTATGCATCGTACACTTGGATTAACGAAGTGCAAATAAAAGAAATGTAGAACCTCACTTTTGCTACCAAAATTTTGGGTAACTTCAAAATCGCCACCTTCATTTCTCTTTGTACAAATCCGCCACCCAAGTTTTTCAGTTCTTTTAAAAACACCACCCTTTTAACAGTCTTGCCCCTCAAACCCAAAAGGGGCTAAAAGTCTGGTTACTCTCTCTCTTAAAACCCAGAAACTCTAGAGTCCAATTCTCTCTGTATATATCTCTCTCCATCGGGAATGTAGAGAAAAAGCAAGGGAGCTTGTGAAAGAGGAAAAAGAAAGACAAGAAAATGGCGAAGATGACAAGAGTATGGAAGAAAATGGCAGCTGACAAGAGTGGAACGATCAGACTTTGGGGAAGAAAGAATTTGGAACCGATAGGTTGCTCGAAGAATTTTACTATTGGTAAAGGACGATGGATAGAGCATTGGCACACTAGGACTCTAGGATTTTGGAAAGAGACTAAGCTTTATGAGTGTTGGTAGAGAGAGAGAGTAGGGTTCTTGAATTCTGTTTGGGTAAAGAGGTCTAAGGGATTTATTGAGGTATATATATATATATATATATAGAGAGAGAGAGAGAGAGGGAAGGGGGGAGGGAAGATAGTGTGTTGGTTTGGTTGGTAGGAGTAGTTAGAGTAAGTTAGTTTAGAAGAGAGAGAGAGAGAGAGAGAGAGAGAGGAGGAGGGGAGGAGAGTAGTGTGTTGGTTGGTTGTGTAGTAGTAGTAGAGAGTAGTTAGTTAGAGTAGAGAGAGAGAGAGAGAGAGAGAGAGAGAGAGAGAGAG